TGCCTCAACTTCAGCTCTTGTTATTGGTTTATTCAGGGTTTCAACTTCTTCCTGGTTTAGGCTTGGGAGGGTGCAAGTGTCCAGGAATTTATCCATTTCTTCCAGATTTACTGGTTTATGTGCATAGAGTTGTTTGTAATAATCTCTGATGATAGTTTGTATTTCTGTGGAATCTGTCATGATATCCCCTTTATCATTTTTTATTGCATCTATTTGATTCTTCTCTCTTTTTTATTAATCTGGCTAGTGGTCTATTTTGTTGATCTTTTCAAAAAACCAGCTCCTGGATTTATTGATTTTTTTGAAGAGTTTTTTGTGTCTCTATCTCCTTCAGTTCTGCTCTGATCTTAGTTATTTCTTGTCTTCTGCTGGCTTTTGAGGTTTTTTGATCTTGCTCCTCTAGTTCTTTTAATTTTGACGATAGGGTATTGATGTTAGATCTTTTCTCGCTTCTCATGTGGGCATTTATTGCTATAAATTTCACTCTAGACTCTGCTTTAAATGTGTCCCAGAGATTCTGGTATGTTGTGTCTTTGTTCTTGTTGGTTTCAAAAAATATCTTTATTTCTGCCTTCATTTCATTGTTTGTCCAGTCGACATTCAGGAGCCAGCTGTTCAGTTTCTCTGAAGTTGTGTGGTTCTGAGTTAGTTTCTTAATCCTAAGTTCTAATTTGATTTGTGGTCTGAGAGACCGTTATGATTTCTGTTTTCTTGCATTTGTTGAGGATTGATTTATTTCCAAATATGTGGTCAGTTTTAGAGTAGGTGTGATGTGGTGCTGAGAAGAATGTATATTCTGTGGATTTAGGATGGAGAGTTCTCTAGAAGTCTGTTAGGTCCACTTGGCCCACATCTGGGTTCAAGTGCTGGATATCCTTGTTAATTTTCTGTCTTGTTGATCTAATATTGCACCTTGATTTGTCATCCAACAGTACTTAGCTGAAGTCCTTTCAAAGCATCTAGTGTAGAACAAGTTTATTTTTCCAAAGGGTGTATAATATTCCACTTCATGGGCATAGAATAACTTATTTGTCTATTCCCTTATAATGGCTTATTTTTTTTTTGTTTTGCTGAAAAATGTAGTAATGTCCTTATGTATGTGTGTTTGTGTGTATCTTTTTTAATTTTTTAGGTTTAGGGGTACATGTGCAGGTTTGTCACATAGATAAACATGAGTCACAGGAGTTTGTTGTACATAATATTACAACACCCAGGTATTAAGCTCAATACCCAATGGCTACCTTTTCTGCTCCTCTCACCCTCCCACTTCAAGTAGACCCCAGTGTCTGTTGCTTCCTTGTGTTCATATGTTATCATTTAGCTCCCACTTATTAGAGAGAACATGTGGTACTTGATTTTCTCTTCTTGAATTAGTTTGCTAAAGATGATAGCCTCCCATTCCATCCATGTTCCTGCACAAGGCATCTCATTCTTTTTTATGGATGCATAATGTTTCATGGTGTACATGTACCATGTTTTCTTTATCTAGTCTGTCATTGATGGGCATTTAGGTTGATTCCCTGTCTTTGCTATTGCGAACAGTTCTGCAATGAACATTCACATGCATGTGTGTTTATGGTAGAATGCTTTATATTCTTCTGGTTATATACCCAGTAATGGGATTGCTGGGTCAAATGGTAGTTCTGCTTTTAGCTCTTTATGGAATTGCTCTACTGCTTTCCACAATGGTTGAACAAATTTATCTCACCAACAGTGTATAAGGGTTCCCTTTGCGACCTCACCAGCATCTGTTAGTTTTTTGCTTTTTAATAACAGCAATTCTGACTGGAGTGAGATGGCATTTCTGTGTGGTTTCAATTTGCATTTCTCTGATGATCAATGATATTGATCTTTTTTGCATATGTTTGTCTTATACATGTATGTCTTCTTTTGAGAAGTATCTGTTGATGTCCCTTGCTCTATTTTTAATGGGGTTGTTTGTTTTTCTTTTGTAAATGTGTTTAAGTTCCTTATAGATGTTGGGTATTAGATCTCTGTCAGATACATAGTTTGCAAATATTTTCTCTCATTCTGTAGGTTGTCTGCTTACTCTGTTGACGGTTTCTTTTGCTATGCAGAAGCTCTTATGTTCAATTAGATCCTATTTGTGAATTTTTGCTTTTGTTATGATTGCTTTCGGTGTCTTTGTCATGAAATCTTTGCCTGTTCCTATGTCCAGGATGGTGTTGCCTTGGTTGTCTTTTGGGTTTTTATAGTTTTGGGTTTTACATTTAAGTCTTTAATCTGTCTTGAGTTGATTTTTGTATATGGTGTAAGGAAGGGGTTCAGCTTCAATCTTCTGCATATGGCTAGGCAGTTATTTCAGCACCGATTATTGAATACAGAGTCTTTTTTCCATTGCTTGTTTTTGTCAGGTTTGGCACTCCTGGGATGCCCACTGCAGCCCTGGGGTGATCTCAGTGTTTATGTTCCTTCCCCAGCTTAGAGGCAGAAGAGGAAGAGATCTTAGTAGGGCTTGTGGCCAAGGGTCATTTGGTTGACTCCTGGGGGCTCCACCCCAGAGAGATGTGAGTCAGCAATCACGTGGTGCAGTCAGCCCAAGATGGAGGGTTTGTGCTGTGTGCCCAAGCCAGGGGTTCCCTGTCTGCTGGTGAGCAATGGCAGGTGGGGGTGTGTGGGACCCGTGGGAAACGGACTGGCTGCCTCTCCTTGGGTCAGCTCTAGCTTGTTGGAGGCGTAGATAAGGCACTCATAGGGTCTTTGCTCCTTTGTTAGTTTGAGGGTGACAAGGGCAGTTCCACTGCTGAGGTTGTGGCAGAGTGGCTTTCAGTTGCCCCTGGAGGCTCTGTTCAGGGAGCTGCTGAGTGGGTACTGGCTCCATAGCTCTGGTAGGGGGTGGTTGGAGGCCCAGGCCTGGAGGGAACTGTTTAGTGACGAGATATGGGAACAGGCACCCATGTGACAGTCTGGCCACTTTTCTGTAGGGATGCTGTGGTATACTTGGGACCTGCTCTAGTCCCTAGTCACCTCAGATTTTCTAGAACCTGGACGTGTCACCAGTGAAGGCTGCAAAACAGCAAAGATGTGGCCTGTCCCCACCTCTGGGAGCTTCGTCCCAGGGAAGTATGAACTGCTTTTGGCCCAAAGACACCTGTAGGAAGTGGCTGGAGACCCTGGTTGGGAGGTCCCGGCCAGTGAGGAGGAATGGGATTGGGACCCACTTATAAAAGCAGTCTGGCCACATTTCAGTAGAGCGGTTGTGCTGAGCTGGGGTCTGCTTCAGCCCCAGGTTTCCTCAGATACTATGAAGCCCACAGGCTGGAACGGCTAAGGCACCCAAACAGCAAAGATGGTGGCCCACCCCTCCCTCCGGGAGTGCCATCCCAGGGGAAATTCAGATCTCTGTCAGTTGGACAGCTCGGGGAGGGGTGGCCGGCGGCCCCCGTTGAAAGGTCCTGCTCAGTGAGGAGGAACGGGATAGGTGTCTGCCTAAAGCAGCAGTCTGGCCACATTTCGGTAGAGCAGCTGTGCTGTGCTGGGGGATCCCTTCTGTCCTGTGTTGCCTCAGACTCTCCAAAGCCTAAAGGCTGGAATGGCTAAGGTGCCCAAACAACAAAGATGGTGGCCTGCCCCTCCCACTGGGAGCTCTTTCTTAGGGACATGCAATGCTGCTACCAGTAGCCAGCTGGAATTCCAAGCCAGTGGTCTTCTGGTGAGAGGCAGTGGAAATGCGGCCTGCAGGCTGTTGCTGCTCAGCCCCCGGGACGCATCCCCTTTCCTAGGGGTAGGGACAGGACTCTAACCCCCCAGTTTGCCAGAGCTATGGCTACTTTGCTGGAAAGCCTGAGGAGCTAAGGCTCCGGGGTCTCCACGCATGCCTGAGTGGCTGTTCTGCCAAGACTCCAAGCAGCTCTGTCTGTCAGAATGAAGACTGAAGGCCCTGGTGGAGAGGGAGATCTCTTGACCTGAGGTTTGCACAGATCTGTGGGAGAAGCCTGGTTTCTGGGTCGCACATTCGGTCACTGCTTCCATGGACGGGAAGGTCCCTAGTTCCGTGTTGCTCCCAGGTGGGCCATTGTCCTGTCTTGTTTTCTTCATTCTCTGTGGGTCAGTTTGTTTCCTTGATTGCCCCCAATGTGAGTCGCTGGCTGTTTCAGCTGAAGGTGTTGTATTCACTCGCCCCGTCCGTTCTCCTTGAGAGCCAGACAGACTAGCTGCTTCTTGTCAGCCATCTTGTCCACTCACTCTGTGTGTATTTCTGCAGAAGTCTCCAGGGGTGGGATGGCTGGAAAGAAGGGTATATGTATTTTTAATTTTAATAGATGCTGCCACATTGCCCTCTAAAAAGGCCATAATTCATATTTCCCTACAGCCAGCACATGAGAATATCCTCTCCCTCTCTTGTGAATTTCAATCGTTATGAAATCTTTTTGAGTTTCTGACTGGAGATAAAGCTAGACCCCATCGTTATCAATTTCTGCAAGCACTAGGGGATATGGACATCTTTCTGATATTACCTTGGCAATGTGTTTCTGCCCTTTTCGTGCGGCTCATCTTTTGCTAGGTTTGTTGCTAACCTTGGGCCTTTATTCTTAATTAGTTTGTGGGGGCTGTTTATACAGCATAGATGTCCACTTTTGTTGCCCGTGTTACAGATATTTGGATCAGATGTAGCATTCACCTCTTGGCTTTGTTTCTTAGCCAGTCCTGAAGGATTATAGAAGCAAACTGAGTTCCAGCAGCTCGAGTACAACCTTATTAATTTGATATGTTAAGCAACCCTTCGGAAGGGTCCATGGCTGGTATGATGTTGATGGGTATGGTACAGTATGCTTGTTGAAGACTGCGGTAGCTCATGGATTAGCTGAATTTTATATCTCTGTAGCTTTTCAGGGGTTCTTGAAGCAGCAGAGAGGTATACTCATATGTGTGCCTTACGTGCAAAAAAAAATAGCCGATCGCTGAGCAACTGTAAGCCGTTCAACTGGTCTCTCTTCCTTATTGAAACTTCCTGAAATTCGGTATTATTCTTTTTTCAGAAATCATGCCATCCTCAAAGCCTCATCCACCTGTCGTGGGCAAAGTGACTCATCACAGCATCGAATTATACTGGGATCTGGAAAAGAAAGCCAAACGCCGAGGACCCCAGGAGCAGTGGTGTAGGTTCTCGATTGAAGAAGAAGACCCCAGAATGCACACTTACGGCATCATTTATACGTAGGTGCAGTGCTGAATTGCTACCACTTTACTTTGACTTCCTGATTGGCTAGAACGATTTCTGTTGTCTCTAAAAAGCCCCTGCTTGTTTGAAATTAAAGAATGAGTCAGCATCATTTGTATTCATGCTGTTTTATGAATTTCAATTTTGGGGAAATAGGCATCAGTGATAACTTTGAAATTAAACCTCTGGAACTTCGAGAGCTTCTTTGACTTTGGAAATACTTTACTGATATGTATTTAAAATCCAAAACGTAGAGACAGACATGAACGATAGCTTGATGCAATCAGGTGAGGTTCCCATAAGGCTGTGTGTTCACAGACGTGGGATGGCCCCACATGGTCTACCCTTCTCTGATCTCATGTCATACCATTGTCCCCTTGTCAACTCTCTCATACCGCGCTGGTTCCCGTCGCAGAATCTTGCTTGTTGCTGTTGCCCTGAGTGCATTACCTTCTGTTTTTATACAGCTGGTCCCTTTGCACCATGCTAACCTCAGATCAAACATGCCCCCGCCCCCAGAAGGCCATCTGAAGTAACCGTTCCTCCACGCAGGCCTCCCGTTGCTCAGAATCTCTTTTTGTATCCCACATAGCGCTAAGCTCTGTGGGGCTTGTTTTACTTGCCTGCTTACTTGTTTACCTGTTTACTTATTTTCCTTGTTCCTTTCCTGCCTCCCCACCCAGTATTAAACTCAGTGAGAGACAAATAAGACTCCTCCCTGCTTAACGCTCTGGCTGGCTCCTTGACAGTGCTGTCTGCTATACAGCAGGCCCTCCCAATGCTTCTTGCATGAACAAATACCACCAGGAGTAATCAGGAAGTCATTTCCGGCCAGGCATGGTGGCTCACGCCTGTCGTCTCAGCATATTAGGAGGCTGAAGTGGGTGGAACCCTTGAACCTAGATGTTCAAGAACAGCCTAGACAACACAGTGAAATCCCATCCCTACAAAAAACACAAAAGTTAGCCAGGTGTGGTGGCACATGCCTGTAGTCCCAACTACTTGGGAGGCTGAGGTAGGAGGATCCCTTGAGCCTGGGAGGTCGAGGCTGCAGTGGGCCACGATTGCACCACTGACCTCCAGCCTGGGTGACGGAGTGAGACCTTGTCTCAAAAAGAAAAGTTATCTTTTTCTTCACCTTCATATCAGCTCTGACTTATTTCTTCCCCTTGATAGATTTACCACTTGCAAAATGCAAAATGACTATTTTGTGATTCAGGAATGTGAAAAACGAGATACAAATATAGTTTATAATTAAACTTTTTTTTTTTTTGAGACAGAGTTTCGCTCCTGTTACCCAGGCAGGAGTGCAATGGCACAATCTCTGCTCACCGCAACCTCTGCCTCCTGGGTTCAGGCAATTCTCCTGCCGCAGCCTCCTGAGTAGCTGTGATTACAGGCACGCGCCACCATGCCCAGCTAATTTTTTGTATTTTTAGTAGAGACGGGGTTTCACCATGTTGACCAGGATGGTCTTGATCTGTTGACCTCATGATCCACCCGCCTCGGCCTCCCAAAGCGCTGGGATTACAGGCGTAAGCCACTGCGCCCGGCCTTAATTAAACTTTTAATTGTGAAATAATTATAGATTCATATCCAGTTGTAAGAAATAATACAGAGTGATTGGATGTACCTTTTCCCATTTCCCTCCTATGGTAACATCTTTGAGAATTGCAGTGCAGTATCATGGTCAGGATGCACTACAGTTCCCTCACTCTTCTGGCCTTTTCCAAGTTTGCATTGTGACAAAAGTGCTGATATGAGGGTGTGTGTGTGTGTGTGTGTGTATATGTGTGTATGTGTGTGTGTATGTGTATGTGTGTGTATGTGTGTATGTGTGTGTGTGTATGTGTGTATGTGTGTGTATGTGTGTATCTGTGTATGTGTGTGTATGTGTGTGTGTATGTGTGTATATGTGTGTGTATGTGTGTGTATGTGTGTGTGTGTATGTGTGTAAAATACATAAAAATATGTATGTATATAATCTGTATATGAAGGCTTCAACTTCAACTGTTACTTGAGTGATAATATATCTGATATTTGAGAAATTTCTCTGTACCTTAAAAAAAATCTGAAATGTAGTTACAATGTAAAAATAATTCTTGTTCTAACTACTCAAGCGTTATTTTAATCATGTCGTTTTACCTGTTGAAGGTAGTTCCTATCCAAAAGCATGAATTATGATAAGTATTTCTCTGGAGAAAGAAAAAGACACGTTTCTTTCCCACACCACCTTACACCACAGGCTGTGGTTGGGCAGGTGAGTGGGGCCATCCTGGATTGTTCTTTCTTCCTTGGCTCTTCCTTTCCTGGGTTTCAGGTAGGCAGCCTCAGCTAGAGAAACCATAGCTGCGTGTGCTGACTTCCAGCCTGAGTGAGGTGTGTATCTGTGTTGTCAGCATTCTCCCCAGAGACCTGTTTGCTGTCAGGCTGAAAAACGTATTCACACTTTGAAGACAGCCTGGTGTTGTGGGGCTGGCACTGACATCTGTGGTCCCCACTCTGAGGGCAGGGGGGAAACGCCTGCATTTCTTGCAGAATTATACGGTACAAACCTTGACGCTAGGTGGCAGAATTAGGCTGTATTAATCTTGACCTCTTTTGCTTCCTTATATCTTTCTCTACATAATGTTAAACTAGCAAATACTTTTTTTGTAAAAAGTGATTATCTAGAGTACCTGATTTTTGGATTGTGGACTTAAGAACTCCTTCCTGATTTGTCAGTTTCTGTTCCCATCGGTCATCAGTCTATCTGGAATCCGTGACATTATCTTTGGCTGGGGCATTCCTCCTTGGCTTCTCGTAGTGTCAGTTACTGTGTTCTCCATTTGTAGAGTCACTTCTGTCCCCTCATTGGCGGTGCTCCCTGTAGGATTTAAGCTCCATTTCTGTCTAGCTCATTCATGGACGCCCAGCTCCTACACCTGCTCAGTGTATTTTCTGATGGAAGGAGTTGACCTTATTTCTCCTTTATTTATTTTTTAAACCTTCTATCTCATCATTCTATCTTGCTGACTTTCCATTTTAATCTTTCTTCTGTCAAATTGTCTTTGGTGGGTCTCCACTTCTTGAAAGATAAAGGCCAAATTCTTTAGACTAACACTTAATGCCTTTCACAGTTTGCCCACACCTACCTTTCTTGTTGCCTCTTATTTCTGAGCAAAAACCCTCCAGTCAGATTTCCTACAGTCCTTTCAATATGCCTTGCACGTGTGTTCAGTTGTTTTCCCTGTTTGGACAGATTTTACCCTTTCACTCTATTCTTTCCTCTGCCCAGGTCAGATTTTACCTCCGCTGAGAAACTCTCCTTACTTACTGCCCTCTTGTCTGTCCCCTAAATCCCTGTGATCGTTTCTGCTCACACATTCCACTGACCCCATTAGCATGTATTACCGACTGTCTGCCACATATCAGACACTTCTCCGGATGCTGGGGATATGGCACTGGGGATAAACAGATAAAAATTCCTCCCTCATGATGTGGAAGGCATACAAGAAGTAAGATGCAGAAGTAAAAATGGGTAGTCAGCAGGGAATACGTACTAAGGGGCAGCAGCATCGGAAAAATTGGGGGCCTGGGGTAGAGGTGGGAAAGTCTTCACCCAGAAGGTAACTTCTGATTAGGTCTGAAGCAGGGATACCTGGAGCCTTGCAAGTGTCTGGGGGAAGAACTTTCCAGACATAGCAAAGGGCCAGTGAGAAAGCCTGCCAGGGCAAGAGTACCTGGCGCGTCCCAGGAGCATTGAGGAGCAGAGGAAACAAGGAGGAGAGTAATGGGGGCGAGGGCAGCTGGCTCATAAGCGGTCACTGCCTGGTTCTTGGGAGTTCTTGGGAGAACTCTGGCTTCTACTCTGAGAGAGGTGGGGAAAGCCACAGGAGCTTGTGAAGCTGAAGAGGGGCGTGATCTGGCTTATGTTTTACGAGAATCCCTCTGCCCGCTGAGTTGAGAACAGGCCATAGGGAGGCCAGGCAGCAAGCAGCAGGGAGGGCTGTTGGGGAAGCTTTTGAAATGGTTTAGGTGGGAGGCAACGCAACAGTGTGGAAAGTGGGAGGACGCAGGATGTGCTTTAAAGATGGATTTAAAAACCTTGCTGATGGACTGGATATGGGATGTGAGAGAGACAGAGGATGGTCAAGGGACACGTAACGGCCAGCACAGGCCAAGTTATACTGCCTGAAGCATCAGTGTCACAGTGTCGGTGGCTGATGGCAGCAGTGCGTTTCTCTCACCCGCCTTGCCCACCGTGGGTCTGCCGGGGCTCTGTCCTGCATTGTCCCCCTACCACAGCCCAGGCCAACGCGGCGACTCTGCCTGAACATTGTCAGTCACTGTGGCAGGGGAGAGAGCATGGCTTGCTGTTCCTCGAAGCTTCCACCCAGAATGACATACTTCACTTCTGCAGATACTTCATTGCTCAAAGCAAGACATGCAGCCATGTCCAAATTCAACAGGGCGGGGAGGTAGGATCTTTGTGGGAGGGCACCTCACGTCTCTGAACAACAATCCAGACTTCCACAGGAGGCACCCAGGGTTTTGGCCTGAGCAGCTGTAATAACCGAGATGGGGAAGACTGTGGGTGGCGTAGATGCTTGGTTTGGGAACTACTCGGCATCCAAGCCAAGATGTCAAGGAGGCTGCTGGGGAAGAAAGGGCCAGGGAAAGGGTCTGGGTTGGAGCGACAGACTCCAGAGTCATCAGCGTGAGGCTGGACTGGAATTCTGGGGGAGGGCGCGTGGAGAAGAAAGGGAAGCCTGGCAACTTGAGTCTTTGGGCTTTTCAATATTTAGCTTCTTATGTTTCATATTTGCTCAGCTCTTGTGTCAATCATTTGCTTATTGACTGATAACAAAAACAAGGCTTTACATGTTTGTATATTTTCCTCTACTGTGGAAATAGTTCCAAGATTCTTTTCTTTTTTAAGCTATCACGTCTAGGGAAAGTTGTGCTTCTCCATGGGTTCAGTGTCCCCCTGCGCCTGCATAGTAATCACTGCGGAGTTCCCTGGTGGACATTTGTGACCTGGGTTCCTGCTGTGTCTTTTGTACTCTTTGGAGCCATCTCTAGTGACACGGGAGTCTTCGGCCTTCCGTAAGTGTGCTTGGTAACATCTGGTTTCTAACACAGTTTGCTCATTACCCTTTCCAGGGGTTATGGAGGTACTGTTTGCTTCAGGGTGACCTTATGATATTCAGCAATATTGGATTTTATTGGGAGCACTTCTGGTTTTATTTTGGTTTAATGCTATGCTGAGTCCTTGACACCTTGCACCGAATTCCAGTGAGGCTTGGATATTATGTTCTCATTGAACTTCTACAGATCTTTTCAGATGCCACGCATTGTTGAGGGCTCCGTTTCTATGACTAAAAGATCTAAGTCTTCATGGGCCTATTTTCATTTAACATCAAAATTTACCTACTCACAAGACTACTTTGTGCCACGCTGATACATTTTGGTTTAAAAAAAAGTTATTACTTTTTAGCCCAGGCAGTATTTCTGAATATTTATCTTAGTTTTACAGCTTTTATTTTATGGTAAATGTATTTGTATCAATTTTTAACTCCTATCTACTTCTTGGTTTCTGGATTCGGTGGCTCAAGCCTGTAATCCCAGCACTTTGGGAGGCTGAGGTGGGTGGATCACGAGGTCAAGAGATCGAGACCATCCTGGTCAACATGGTGAAACCCTGTCTCTACCAAAAATATAAAAAATTAGCTGGGCACGGTGGTGCGTGCCTGTAATTCCAGCTACTCAGGAGGCTGAGGTAGGAGAATTGCCTGAACCCGGGAGGCGGAGGATGCGGTGAGCTGAGATCACACCATTGCACTCCAGCATGGGTAACAGGAGCGAAACTCCGTCTCAAAAAAAAAAAAAAAAAGAAGAGTTGTCGTAATGAAGAAGTTGGTTTCTTCATCGTCTTCCTTCCAGTTTCTTTTTTGTTGATACATACTGTCTCAGTCATCCGCTGCATCGCAAACCACCGCGGACGGAGTGGCATACAGCAGAGACGGTCATGTGTTTGCTCATGATCTGTAATGTGGCTAGGATGTTGACGGCTTGTTTCTGCCCCATGTGGTCTTAGCTGTTGCGGCTCTCTTGGGGCTGGAAGATCCAAATGGCTTCACCCAGGTGTGATGCATCAGCTGGGATGGCCAGGACAACAGGAGACTGGCTGGGCTTCTTCATCTCCCATGCAGTCTTACCGGGTGGCCTCTTTCTCCAACAGGGAGGTCGAACTTCTTTACATGGTGGCCAGCTTCCAAGGGAGGAGAAGCGGCAACTTCCGGGCATCTGAAGGCCCAGGCCCAGAGCTGCTCAGCCTCACTTCCACCACATTCCATTCTGTTCAAAGGGAGAGGAGCATGTTCCTGCAGGGATGGTAGGGACTGTGGAGGACAGCTTGGCTTCCAGCACATTTGGCTTCTTGAAGGTGAAGAAAAACGTGTTTCCGGCGCAGATGATGTCAGTTAGGAGGCTGCATCCACCAGCATAGAGCAGGAGGCAGAGGTATGTACGTGGTCAGAGGGGCCTGGATGTGCTTAGTCGTTTTCTTGGCTCTGATCGCGCTACACCTAAGAAGTCATTTGGATTTGGTGCCTCAAGTGACTTTGTGATGCAAAAAAGGATCAATAACTGTTCAGTACTTGATTTTGATTTTACCTTACAGTGTCACATTTTGACAAGGAAAGAAGCATCAAGTAAAGAAGATCTTTGAAAATGTTTTCTAGTTTTCAAAAACAAGGTTCTGTTAAATGTTAGAGTTAGAATTATGTTAGTTGTCTCCAGATTTCACAGAGGAACCTCCTTCCTGGACATGCCAGACTCTTCTGCACCCTGACTCTCACGGCAATGAGAGCACCTAGACCGTGACTCTCCCAGGTGTTGTGTGTTGTTCCAGCCCTGCTGGGGAGCCCCTTTCTCAGACTGCCTGGGAGATGTCTGCCTGTCTGTCATGGAGTCCTTTATGCCATGTCTCACTTGACATCAGAGATACCTCTAGCAGAGGACACTCTCCTGCCGCCTCACTTCCTCCGCCCTGTACCCTTTCCTCAGACACCTGTTCCTGCCTGCGCCTATTCCTCAGCACGGGGGAATTACTTGTTTGGTGCATGAGTTTGGCAGAAGGAACTTAGAAGCCCTTCTCCGTTCTCTTTTGGAGATATTCCTACCTCTAGAACAAGTGTTGGGTCTGTTCTTTAGCCACACACTTAATGCTGTGCCTTGTCCTTCAGGGGAAAGAATCTGGTGGGGGCTGGGAGTGAGTGGGCAAGGCTGTTTGATGATTAGATGAGGTGTTAGCTTACCCACCCAGCCCAGATCTGAAGTCAGGTTTTTTCAGGTGTTATTGGTGATGCTAACTCCAGTACTGGCACTTCCCCTTTGCTCAGCCTCCCTTCCTGACTGTCCTTGATGCCCCTCTTCTTGTCACCCCATTAGTACAAAGTTGCGGTCAACTCAGTGTTGACAGGTTCATTTTGGCCCTGAGCTGGCTCAGGGCTCCATCCCAGCCTGTCCCAGCAACTTGCAAATAATGGGCATGAGATACACTTATTGAGTTGCCTGGGATAGAATCGATGCATATGTATTTAGTTGCATGTAATCATCCTCGAGAAATTAGCTGTGAATCCCATAGAATGGTTCTGGTATTTTTGGAGGGTCTGTTGAGAATAAAAGCAAAACTAGAGACAGGGAAAAAATAGGAGGAAACAGTGGTGACCGTGGCATCTAAGGAGCTATGGAGAATGGTCCAAGGGAGGAGAACAAGGACCAGATTGAGTGTTGAAGCTGGAAAGAAGAAAGAGCTGGAAATGACACACACACTCACACACACACACACACACACACTCATACACATACACACTCACACACACTCATACACACACTCACTCATACACATACACACACTCTCTCTCTCTCTGTCTCTCTCTCTCTCAAAAACCAAGACTTTGAGTAGAAGAAAACAATTTAGAGCTAGGGTTTGCAAAGGATACATGGAGTTTAGTCAGATAAGAATAAAAATGTTGGCAGCAAAGAGAAATGGGTGATATAGAGGCTCTGGGTAATACTGGGAAGTATGTATGGCTCTGTCGACTTTTGGAGACCTGATGTTATAGAATGCATGCCAAGTCAAAGCCAGGCTCCTGGGACCGGCTGACAAGCACAGGGTGAGATCTTACCTTAGCACTTCTGCTGGGTTCCAGCCTCTTAGCAGGCAGGCAGACTGCCTAACTGCATGTCTTGGTGCTCATTTTGCAGGCTGCAAATGATTAGACTCAGTACTACTTCCCTCTGGAGGTGTGTGGATTTCCATTGTGAGTCTCTATCCCAGAAGTGCTCAGCATCCATTTCCCACAAATATTACTAAGATGAACTTGACCATGGGGCATGATATTGGCACTGTCTTCCATGTGCTGCCTGAGCTCCCGGCTCTACCAGGAGCTGTTCATGTGCTACAAGCAGTCTTGCATGTGACTTCTTCAGGTCCTTGCCCTGCAGTGGTATTTTGCCTGCAGTAGTTCTGCAGCCGTGTGTGAACCTCACTGCCCCCACCACTCGACGGTCCCCACTTGAAAATAACGTGTGTGTGATTTGACTGCTGTCATGTCTTTCAAATATAAAACTTTGTCGCTTGAGGACAAATGTCACGGTTAACATGATTGTTTCTCAAAAGTACAAAACTGCGTGCTAGCTATGTGTCAGGCCCTGGGCTAGGCCCTATAGAACGGAGGGCACCTGCTGGGTAGGGATAGAGGCACCATGTGGGACATAGGACTTCAGCAAAGCAGGATCCATCAGCTCTGTCCTGGAAATAGAAGGAAAATCACTTCCACCTACTCTTCTTGTGTCTTATCAGAGAGTGTGGGTTAGGTTACCTGGTGTCCTCAGCATGTTTGTTTCCTCCTGTCTAGGGGATATGCTACGAAGCATGTTGTTGAAGGTCTGGAACCAAGGACGCTGTATAGATTTCGCCTGAAGGTCACCAGCCCTTCTGGGGAGTGTGAGTACAGCCCACTCATCTCAGTGTCTACAACCAGTGAGTATTCAGACCCTCTGCACTCACCTGTCTGAAGATCAGTGGAGATGACAAGCAATTTAGAGATAAAAATACTCTGCCTCTTGTTCAGCCTTACCAGAAGCAGAAATGATTCCAATTTTAAACACCGCAACACATTTGCTAGTCTGGCCTTGCCAGAATCTGTAATGTCAGGGAAGCCTTCTTCTGCTTTCTCAAACTGGGAGAGCTGCTTTTTGTGCCAGAACCATCCTACTAGTAGCCATTCAGCACAAAAGGGTGGAGTCATCTTTTTAGGTGAGGGGTGACAGGGAAAGCCTAACTGTCTCCACAGAGCCAAGCAGGCTGCCTGCCTGGGCGTCCTCGGAGGAGCAGCTCTGTTCAGCATCTTGTCCATCTTGACTAGCCCAGGGTGTGAGACTTAACTTGCCATATGAACCTGATTGCTGGGGTCACGGTGAGTGAGGGAGAAGCAAGGACGCTGCTGTATTCATGAAGAACCCTGTGAGGGGAGAGCGCCACGTGGAGCCTCCGAACCCTTCAGCCGGCTGAGTTTTAAGATTGTTTCTGGGATGGATATTTTAAAGATGCTCTGACCAGGGCCATCTCTGAGAAAGAATGTTGTAAAAATTAGAATGGTCACAGGTGTTCTCTCTGGCCTACCCACTGGAAAACACAGTGAGTCATTTTTCGGTTGCACAAAAGAAACTTTCTTTTTGTGAGTAAAGTTATTTTTCCATTTTATTCCATGTAGCATTTGGCTTGGAGGTATGTGCTTTCTGTGGCTTTCTATATCCTTTAGGCATTTCTTCATGACAAGTTTTGTGTAGACTAAAGTTAACTCAGCTTTCGAGTACCTTCAGTTGCAGACATGGCATTAGGGGACAAGATCCAAGTTTAGCAAACTGGGAGTTTAGCTGTGAAAAACACACTTTCAGAGGACACTTTTGATGTGAAATGGTCAACTTTGGGGATTCAGGGTAAGAAGAAAGAGGGCTTGTTCCTTCATCTGGCAGTGTTGAGAGCATTTGCTGTTACATGTAAGGTATTCACCCTTGGGGTTCTTAAGAGAAAACAAAGAAGGCAAGGCCGAGGGTATGCAGGAGAAGGGGCAGGAGAAGAGGTTGCAGAGGGAGCCAAGCCTGTGAACAGAGACTCGCCAGGCATCCCTGGCCAGGATGCCGTCCCAGGCTACCTTTCTGTTCCCTCCCATCCTCTTGCTGTCCCCACCCACCCACAGGCCTCCTGACACTCCATATACTCCCACCTCTGCCCCTCCTCCCTGGAGCACCCACTCCATTGCTGTGCTCATTGACTGAGCCTGCTCCATGGGCAAGCATGGTGGGGGTGATACCTCGTGTGGCTTTCCCCTCCTCTGTCACATGCTTTCCCTCCTCCCCAGGTACAGAGAAGTATTCCCCCACCTCTATGAACACTTCTTGCATCTTCTTCTACATATTTGTCTACCTTTTGGCCTCCCACCTACACTGTGAGCTCTGAAAGGGTGGGTGATGCATCAGCCATCTTTAGCTTGTGTGAGATCCTTAATAAGTCAGTGTGTGCGCCTATGGCCTGAGGCAGGAGGGTCGCTTGAGCCCAGGAGTTCAAGGCTACAGTGAGCTATGGTGGAACCACTGCACTCTCCAGCCTAGGCAACAGAGCAGGACTCTTTCTCTAAAAAAAGAAGATCCTGGCTGGCTGGATGGATGGATAGATGATGAGTTAAGGAATTCATCAGTGGCAGAATAGAGTATGAAAAGAAACCCTGGTTTTCTCAGGTTGCATTTATGTCAGTTGGGAGATGGATTAGTTTTCTGCTGGCCAGTGAGAGTCTACCTGAACCTTCCAGGTGAAGGTGAATGTGGTTGTTCCGCAGCCTTCCATGGTTGGCTTCAGGTGGCCTCTAGCATCCTCTTAATAGCACATCAAAGCCAGGGCACGGGCTTCTGGACCTCCTGGCCTGAGTTTACATGGGGTTGATGTACCATTTGGAGTTCTTTTAGGAAGGGCTATGTATTAGTGTGTTCTCATGCTGCTAATAAAGACATACCCAAGACTGGGTAATTTATAAAGGAAAGAAATTTAATGGACTCACAGTTCTACATGGCTGGGGAGGCCTCACAACTGTGGTGGAAGGCAAAGGAGGAGGAAAGGCAGGTCTTACATGGCGGCAGGCAAGAGAGAGCACGTGCAGTGGAAATTCCCTTCATAATACCATCAGATCTTATGAGACTTATTCACTATCAGGAGAACAGCATGGGAAAGACCCACCCCTATGATCCAATTACCTCCCACCAGGTCCCTTCCATGACATGACACATGGGAATGATGGGAGCTACAATTCAAGATGAGATTTGGGTGGGGACACAGCCAAACTAGATCAGGCTGTGCCTGTGGGCCGGGTGTGCCTTCTCCTCACTGAGCTGGCTCCAGAGGCAGCCATGGAGAGCTGGTGCAGGGTGTTTGTCTTTATGGCCCCATGGCTTCCATGAGTGATTAGATGAGACCTGCAGGGATGAGTGTGAGGTGGTGACCAGGGGTGTGTGTGTGGGGGAGGGGGGGGGAAGTGATCCTGGCCATTTCATTGCCAGATAATAGCATCACTGCCTGCAGCCAGGAAGCCTTCTCAGCCTCAAGGGGGCTGTACTAGGTGGTGAGGATCAGGTTTCCTCCTCCTCCTGGCTGGGGCAGGCTGCTGCCTCTGTGGGCTGGCTGCCGTTCCCTTAAGCTATTGTTATATATTTATAATATCCAAAGCAGATTCTCCTAAGGAGGCAGATCATACTAAACAAAGAATTAAAATTGTGCACATGATACAGAGCAAGAGCAAATGCTTCGTGTGGTGATAATTTGCATTCAGTTTCAGAGTGTTTTAATGAATCACAGAGGCATGCACTTTGTTTGAATAAAAAATGCACAGCCTTTTTTTTTTCCCCAGGTAAAGTACACGGGATTCTTGCTTAAATGAGGCATACAGTTTTAATCAGTTGGGCCCTTATAAAGAAAGAAAAACAGCTGCTACTTGTTAATTGGCAAATATCTTCTCCAATGAGCTCCTGATTTATTCACTGCTTTTAATAAAGACTTAAAATTCCACCAAGAAAGGGGTTATCACCACATTATACTATCTGCTGGTACATCTGCAGCTAAATGACCCTCTTAGAGAACATGAGTGACGGCTTCCTCAAGCCCACTCTGCCCTGCTCTGCCCTTCTCCTCACCGGTGTCCCTGTTCACCTGGCCCTGACTGGTGAGTTCTATCTGGCTTACATGGGCATGGGCTGACATCCTCACCATGGGCAGAATCAGTTTGATGTTTCTAATTGCGACACTCAGGGTAAACACTAGAAAAACAAACCCACAAAGCAACAGCCAGCCTTTTAAAAATATTCAATTACACTTACTGATAGCATTCCCTTGGGCCAGGCCCACAAAGTCGTGAAGGATTCAGGGGTGGGAGGAATGGAACATTCTGTTCACCCTGGAATTTCCTCTCTGTTCTGCAGGACTCCTGCTGATAGTGGGAGTAGAAGGAATTGCTGTGCACTGCAAACAAGGGTCTTTTCATTTCTTTTCTGTTTCTTTATCAAATTCATGTAAACGGAGATGTTTCAGTGTCTCTGTTGCTTCACACAGGTTCCAGTGTAATCCTCAGTCCCTCCTTTCCCTCCTGGTAGTAGCGGATGGTTAACTCTGAGAAAGAGCTCTCACACCCCAGAAATGAACCACGGTTACTGCTCAGCAAGCAAGGACTGATGAACAATTAAGTCATTCCCCTCTCTTCTGTGAGGTGTCCCTTTGTTCTTAAACTGTGAAGTGCTCATTACCTCTTGTGGAAGCTGGAATTGACATGACATTGATTATATCCCAATGCCAAAAGCCCTGGTCTTTGCTATAAATGGTCCTCAAGCTTATAAGCATGCAGTGAACTTGTTTCATTTTCCAACCATTGCATGCTGCAGATCTTCCTGGCTAGGATGCGCTAAATCTTCCAGAAAGTGCTAACTGCTTGAGATGTTGGGTTCTAAGTACACACCCCCAACCACCTCTCTACCCTGATCCCCCACCCGCACTGGGAGAGCCTGGCCGCTCAGGTAAGATTGAGGCTGTGGAGTAGAGGGGGTCAGGGAAGAGAGGTGGTTGGGGGTGTGTCCTTAGAACTAGCATCTCAAGCAGTTAGCACTTTCTGGAATATTTTTAGGTATCCCCTTTCTTTTAACACTTTGGGGGAGAGGATCACATTTACATGAGATATTCATCTGTATTCAAAATTTAATAAGCATGGAGACATACAGTGAATTGGTTGATACTGCAGCATTTACTAAATACTAAAGGGAAGGAGTGAGCCTCATGAAAGACTTGGCCTTGGCTCTAATCCTGCCCTCTCCTAACTGGGCAACCTTGGACAACTCAGCCCTTCTAACTCTTGGTTTTGTGGTTTGGAGGAGAATTTTAAAAGCATGGTGTAAAATCCTACATACAGCCTAACTCACAGGATTTGATTGAGAATACCACACGTTGTGTGACGTAGCAGAGATAGAATGAGCTTTATGTGTTGTTCTAGGTGCTTCTATCCCAATGACTCGTTTTTATAGTTTTAGTGGCAGTTGAAGTTTGAGATGAGGAGAAGATGGGACCTGTTTGGTGGGATAACAGAGACCTTTATATGCATACCACTTTTCTTCTCCTGGTTACTAACATGTAGGGAAACAATCTGTGGGTTTAGTTCGTCCACCTACATGTAGATGAGACACATGATAATTTTAAGTCCTTCATTATCTAGTTCAGTGTTCCCATTTTGGTACTACTGGCATTTGGGGACTGGATGGCTCTGTGTTGTGTGGGGGGCTGTCCTGTGTACTGTGGATGTGGGGACTAGATGGCTCTGTGTTGTGTGGGGGGCTGTCCTGTGTACTGTGGATGTGGGGACTAGATGGCCCTCTGTTGTGGGGGGCTGTCCTGTGTACTGTGGATGTGGGGACTAGATGGCCCTCTGTTGTGGGGGGCTGTCCTGTGTACTGTGGATGTGGGGACTAGATGGCCCTCTGTTGTGGGGGGCTGTCCTGTGTACTGTGGATGTGGGGACTAGATGGCCCTCTGTTGTGGGGGCCTGTCCTGTGTACTGTGGATGTGGGGACTGGGTGGCTCTGTTGTGGGGGGCTGTCCTGTGTACTGTGGATGTGGGGACTGGGTGGCTCTCTGTTGTGGGGGGCTGTCCTGTGTACTGTGGATGTGGGGACTGGATGGCTCTCTTGTGGGGGGCTGTCCTGTGTACTGTGGATGTGGGGACTGGATGGCCCTCTGTTGTGGGGGGCTGTCCTGTGTACTGTGGATGTGGGGACTGGGTGGCCCTCTGTTGTGGGGGGCTGTCCTGTGTACTGTGGATGTGGGGACTGGGTGGCTCTCTGTTGTGGGGGGCTGTCCTGTGTACTGTGGATGTGGGGACTAGATGGCCCTCTGTTGTGGGGGGCTGTCCTGTGTACTATGGATGTTCAGCAGCAGCTTTGGCCTCTATCCTCTGGAAGTCAGTGCACCATACCCTTAGTTGTGGCAACCAGAAATGTCACCAGATATTGCCACATGTCCTCTGGGGCATAAAACCCGGCTCCTTTCTAAGCCCTTTTAGTGAAACCCCTGGGCGATGCCTGACCTCCCTTGGAAGGCCAGGGACAGCTGCGAGGCTTGGCCTTGGGCAGGTTATCATGGGACTTTTATTTGAAGCTTTTGGTCTAAAAAATGTGTGGAATGATGAAAAGGAAGTATAATGTAGCTAAAAAAAAATGTGTAAGGGATTGACAAACACTAGCAGACAAAATTGTTATTTCAAAATAATTTAAACTTGGCATAATTTATCTTTATGAAAGAAAGGAAAAGGTCTCACCTAAAGATCATTCTGGTAGAAATCCCTTTATTTTCCTTTTCCCAGTTTGTGTGTTCCCCAAGTCACTGTGTACCACTGAAACCCTCCAAGGAAACCCAGAGAAAAGTGTCTCCTGTGCCCAGGAACTGGAATCCCAGAGAGACTTTCTACCATAAGGAGCAGGAAGAGGGAGGCCTTCTGATCTCTCTGGACCAGACTGTAAGAGGGAGGATGAATGAGCCCCAGGAGGCAGTGTGGGGTGCAGTAGGGGAGGATAGGGTAGGAGTGGATATTTTCTTTCAGAGTTTAGAGTAATAACGGGCTGCAAGTGGGCACTACAGTGTAAATGAGCATGGGAGCTAATGGTTAGGTCTTTTCATGCTAACCCCCTAGAGCCTAGCACAGGACTTGGCATGTTCATTACTTAGGTTTGCTGAGTGAGTGAAAGAGAGCTTTGAGGTTACTTAGGCCAGGAATTATGAACTCAAACGTTTGCCGAGTGCGGGTGAGGGGCTGGGCATACAGCTGGAGTATGTAAGAGATGGTGGGGCTGTATCCAGGGACGATAGCAGCTGCCGCCACTGTCACTGCAACAACAGGTGTGTGCTGGGTGCTTACGACGTGCCAGGTGCTATTCCAGGTGCTTCACTTGTGTTATTTCATTTACACTTAACGGCGACAATCTGTAAAATCAGAAGGTGTAGAACAAGGAACAAATGAAACTATAAAGGCCTAGAAAGAAGGGCGGCATCCTCATAACCCTTTATTCTCCCTCTGCCTGCTGGCCTCCCTGTGGAGCTAATGTCCCCTGTGCAAAGGACGCCCTCCTCCCCTGCTGTTGTCCATTGTTGTTTCAGGCTCTGGACTCCCCTGGGCAAGCTCTCTCCCCCAATTGGAGATTCTTCCAGGGCTCCCCACCTCCCTACCTCCCTGTGGGTAGAAGCCCTTCTGCCCCCACAAGCTCAGAGCAGACAAGGCCAATTATGTATGTCACATTCCGGGGAAGAACTGAAAAGTTTCATTTCAAATGTTAAAGCACTTTGTCCTTTTTTTGTTTATTCAAGTAGTTTAACATCTCTTTGGCAAACAAAACTAGCATGTTGTGACAATGGCTGAGGTTTCCCTTGCTTGTAGGAGACATATATTAAGTCTTACGAAATGTGAAAGGATTATTTCCAAATATCAAAATAACATTCACAAAGCAATACTTTATAACTTGAAAATGCCCCAAGCCTTTAGGTCAGTCAAAATGTTCTCTTAATATGTGAAAACAAGGTCTTTTTTGGTAAAAAAAAAAAAAAAAAAAAAAAAAAAAAAAAAAAAGGCAGTTGAGTAGGAAATGTAAGATATACTTACAGGACTAGCCAAGCGCCTTCTTGGAGATGATCCCCTCAAGGCCCCAGGAGGAAGATGGCAAGAAGGAGTCCTCTTTCCTGATGTTCTGGGTGACTGCCTTCCATCTCATTCCTCCAGGAGAGCCCATAAGTAGTGAGCACTTTCATCGGGCTGTCAATGTGAATGATGAAGATTTGCTTGTCCGAATACTTCAAGGAGGGTGAGAGAACTCAGCCAGTTTATTTTTTCCTCCCATGCCTATGAAATGTGTAGAAATACATGCAGTAGCTTCACTTTGTTTTCCTAAAATTTCTCATGCCTTTGAAACTGCCTCCAAATGGATCTTAGGTGACTGGTGTGACGTAATAAACCATAGGTGATGAAGATGCTCCTGAAGCCCCATGTAATGTTAAAGTTCGTAATTGTGTAATAGAAATTGTAAAAGGAAATTACAAGGCCGGGTGTCCTATTTTCTTCCCAGAAGTAATTTCTCTCTCTTGCTTACAAGCCATTTAGGCAGATTTCACCCCCAAATGCCTATGTCTAATTTCTGATGAAATGAGGGAATCACCAAATCAACTGCTTTCTAATGTAAAAGGTTGATATAACACTAGAGGGAAAATGGTGAATACCGCTGCCGCAGATGAGATGTTTGAAGCTGCCTCCTAAATGAAAAGTAGACGATGTTACCTAGGTTCTTTTTGCATCAATAGTTTTGAGTGCCCTAGAAGACAAGTCATTTGTGAATTTCAGCTCCGTAATTTAGAGCTCTTAAGAGAAGGTTCCCACAAAAAGCCAAAGTAGCTATGCTGGAGCATGGGCATGAAGACCTCTGTTTTCTTCTCTCCCCAGTAGGTGAGATGCGAGGCAAGGGACAAAGCCTGAGTCTCCACCAATATACCGATTCATGTTCGGTGGAGCTGAGAGTCAGCAGTGAAGATACCATCCTCAGCTATCTTAAAGAGCTATGTTCGTTGGACAGTGCTTTGTCTGATGGCATAATAGCTTTCAGCCGAAGAGAGTGCCTATTTTAAATGAAACTACAGCAATTTTCTCTTTTATTATACATTTGAATCTTGTAGAATATTAGGGATCTATTTTAGAAGATTCTTAGCAGTCTAAGACAAGAAAAGACTTAATGACCCTGAAGAAATTAGTAACGTGAGTCATGTTAGCCACCTAAGCCCCATGAGAACCACCAGCTTTGAATCTGCAGGAGCTATACGGAGCATGCTCATCTCTTTTCTCTGTGTTTTTCCCAAGCCATGTTAAGGTTGATGTTCCCAATAAGTTTGGCTTTACCGCTCTGATGGTTGCTGCCCAGAAAGGATACACCAGGTATGCCTTTTCCTTTTTTTTAAAAAAATTCTCTCTTGGGGATTTAACTTTTTACTTTATTTAAAGGCTCTGGTCAGGATAGGGATGGGGGAGGGAAAAGGGCCATAGAGGAACCCCATTTCTTTTCTGTCCCTCAAACCATACCATATGATGGCTTAGAAATCCAGCTGTTGTAATCCCAAAGTTATACAACATGCAGGAGACAATGTAAAACATGTAATCATATGTTGAGGAAGAAAGGTAGCCATTTAATTACATGCAATATATTTTATATGTTCTTGGAAAACTGGTTGTTGGAATTCAAATTTCTCTTTTTTAAAAATGTAAAGAGAGGTTTATTCTGGCAAGTTGTCTGCTAGGTTGCTAAGATATAATTTTCACAGATACACTCTTATCTGTTCCACACAGAGATAAGTATTAATATTAGTGCTTTATTTTCATTTATATTTTAATTAAATGCCATTTAAAAAAATAGAAATGTGTTTTCATTAAATGCTACCATTTAAAAATATTTTAACAATGGCCATTCAAAGGACAGTGAATTCTTTTGGTAGCACAATTTGCTTCATGTGCTTTCGTTTGATTTTAATGAATAACTTGTGTCAAAGGTGAAAGCCCGTGTATTTGAAATGAAGAGGTAGTTTTCTGGTTTAATGATGCCTGGTTTTAAAACCCGCTGGCTTCTTGAAGGTGCGGAGGAAACTGTCGCAAAGATGCATCTTGGATACTGTGTTACCCATTTTTACTGTTCTGTTGTGGGCTCTGAGTGATCAAGGTGACTTATCTAGCTACAGTTAAGTTTGTTTCCTTCAGGCTTGTGAAAATCCTAGTTTCTAATGGCACAGACGTGAATCTGAAGAATGGAAGTGGCAAGGACAGGTAGGAGGTGGGGTATGACTAAAAATGTGCTCATGTTCTCAGAATTGTGTTGCTAGGCTTGTGCCCAGAGGGCTGATTGCACCCAAACATTTTCTTCAGTTTCTTTTGACAGTCCTGAGAGGTGAGTGGGTCCCCGAGGAAAGAGGCTGATGCCAAAAGCTGGCTTGCTCACATGGCCTTGTGCTTTTGCTCACCAGGGTACTTGTGGGGGGCATCTCTTGTAATCTGTGGTAACTCCTCTGGTATGGCGCCTGTGCCTGGTGGACACGTGGTGCATGGGAAATGGCAGCTACAGAGCAGCTCTCACCAGCTCCGTGCTGGGCCTGGGTGCAAGTCCCTGTCCCCAGCAGCCCGTGCTTCTCAGCCCCCCGCTCCATTTCAGCCTCACTCTTTACTCAGAATCTTTGTTGTTTCTAAAGAAGCAGACGGAAATCGCCACCAGAGAGACAGCTGGAGCACTTTCCTGAGGTGAGGGGCACAGGTCCTGTTGCAGGGCTGAGAAGGTTACAATAAAAGCTTAGGGGAAGAACACGAAGCATGTAAAGGACAGATGGGAGTGCTCCCAAAAGACCTAGAAACACTTGCTAGTCTAGTCATTGGAGTGAATTAATTAATTCCAACTAACCCGTGTTTATCGACTGATTACTAATTGCCAGGCGCTGTGTGCTTGGTGCTTGGGTGAAACAGCAAAATGCCAGGCCTCGGCTTCAGGGGCTCTGGTCATGACACACATGGAACCAGGGCTTGGGCACTGCACATGGCATTGACGGAACAGCTGCCAAACACTCACCTTCTTCTGGCCGGGCGTGGTGGCTTACGCCTGTAACCCCAGCACTTGGGGAGGCTGAGGTGGGTGGATCACAAGGTCAGGAGTTCGAGACCAGCTTGGCCAATATGGTGAAACCCCATGTCTACTAAAATACAGAAGTTAGCTGGGCGTGGTGGCGCGTACCCATAATCCCAGCCACTTGGGAGGCCAAGGCAGGAGAATCGCTTGAACCTGGGAAGTGGAGGTTGCAGTGAGCCAAGAGATCACACCACTGCACTCCAGCCTGGGCGACAGAGTGAGATTCCATCCCCCCAAAAATAAAACAAACACCAAGAAAACCCCCAAAAAACTGACCTTCTCCGGCAGGCCAGAAAGTAAACCCCAGCTACTCAAATCAGAAGGCCTGTCTTCTACATTTACATTCTCTGGACACAATGCAGCAATAGATTTTAAATAACAATATCTTAAATATCGCTTATACATTTAAAAAGTATTTTTCCAAATAACTCATAGGTAAAGTTGAGACTAAACTATCAACCCCAAGTTTAAAAGAATGGTCCAGTCTGAAAAGGGAAAAGGAAAAATGTATAAGGAGAATAGGAAAAATGAAAGAATTAAAAGTAGACATGTATTAAAAATTAAAGATTACTGAGAAATGTAAGAGTTGCCTCTTAAACAAAAACCTATATAATAAGATACACCAATCTTTTGTAAATCTAAGAAAAAAGAAAAAAACCTAGAAGTTTGAAAGAGGACAGTAACAATGGGTATAGAGAACACGTAAACATGAAAAGAAAATGGTGTTTGTGTCTATAATAGTAGATAATTCCATCGAAATGGATTCTTTTTCTGAGACAATTTAAACCACCAAATCAACCCAAGAAGAAGAAAATCTAAAATTACTAATATCCATGCAAGGAACAGAAAATTCATTTAAAAATTACCTCCAATGTAGGCTCTGTGGCTTGATTGTTCTGCCAGTGAAGCTGTTGAGATTTTCTAGTCACTGATAATAACCCTGGGCTTTTCCAGAGCAGAGAAGGAGCTGGAATGCTCCAGAGGATCACCTTATTGCTAAAATCTAATATTAACAGAAAAAAAGCTATTTGTATGTTTGTTTGTTTGTGTTGTAGGTATTTATAAATCTCTTCCATCCCACCTATGAGAGCCATACCAGAGGGTAAGGTATTAGGAAATCTTTTAATATAACACTTCCCATCAGTAGATTAAAGGTGAAAACCTTTATTTGTGTAGATGCAAAACAAAAATTGGGTGTAACTTGGCATGTTTATTAAAAAGTATCTTATTTTTGAAAGTGAAGGATACTTTCAGCCTTTGAACAGTGTCTGGCCCGTGGGAGGCAGGGAGTGTCTGTTGAATGAAGAATCCCTTTGATTGCAGCATATAAAGTTTTTTTTTTTTTTCATCTCAGGTAGCCAGTGTCATTCTTAGTATTGGCAGACTCCTTTCCAAAATTAGTAGTGAAGTCCAAGAGAGTGGTGGAGAACTTGATGTGAAATCCTCATCCCTCTGGGGATGCGGTGTGACCTTGGGCAGGCTACTTAACCTCCCCGTGTCTTAGTTTCATGTCCATAAAATTGGACTAATAGCAGTACTTACAGGTGGCAGGCATTTAATGAGTTGATATGAAAAATGCATAAAACGGTTCCTGGCATATGGTACATACAGATATATTTTGTTATTTCACGACTAGAGAGTATTTTGAAGGCTGATCCACTTGATATGAACTGAGGTAAGGGGTATGATTTCTTTCCTCTAGAACCTAACAGAATCAATTTCAAAAACTCGGACTTAAGGAGGCTCAGAAAAGTGGATAGCTACAAGGCAAAGACAAGACTTTCTTAAATCCCTGCCATTACCAGTTAATAAATATAATGGGGAAATAAAATAGAATGAAAATAAGAAAAGTAGGAAATCTGAATGAAAAAATAAACCTAAAAACCTTACTGAGTGATATAAAAATTTAAGAAATAAAGACATGTCATACGTCAGCACGGCAAGATTGACTCTTCTACAATTTTTAGTTCTTCTCAAATATTGCATAGAGTTTCAGTGCAGCCTCCAATGGAATTATTCTTGGCAACCTGTCAAAATGATAGTAATGTATCTAGAAGAACGAATAGATACTAGCTACTAATTTTGATTGTCAGGGAAGAATGTGGAGGGACTTGCCTTGATGGTTATTAAAATGCCTTATAACGTTATAGGAGTTAAAGTAGTATGATACTGGCACAAAACAAGGAGTAGAATGGAATAGAAATCCTCAGGTAGATCCCTGTCTACATAAGAACCTGGCATATGGTGATGGACGCAACATAAACCAGTGAGGGAGGTACTGGATAAATAGAATGTTTGAAGGAAAAAGTCAAGTTCGATCTTGGTCTCATAGCAGGCAGCAAAATAAATTTCAGATGAATTAAGAATTAAATGTAAAAAAAAAAACCATAGAAACAAATGACCAGAAAACAGGCACGTAATTATTTGAGCTTGTAATGTGAAAGGAATAAATGCATTGGAAGGAATCATTAAGGAAAACATTATACATTTAAAAAAAATTATGGTGTTAAGGACATTCCAGGGAGATACTTACAATTGTATTATGGACAAATTACTGGCATTTTTAATGTACAGAACAAACATATGGCCATACATATACTCTACAACGGCCTGCACACACAGTACAAAAAAGCAGTTTACACAAGAAGACAATTTATAGCAGAATCAATATAAGCAATTTATATTAAAAAGTTTAGCATTACTAGTAATAAAAAATTTTCTACCTATCAAATTGGTTATTAAAAAATAATCCTGTTGATAAAGATGCAGTGAAATGCCTGTACTTTCAAATATAGTTGATAGAAATGTAAATTGCTATAATCTTTCTGGAAAGCAATTTGAAAATTTGCATGCAAAGTAAGCCACATCCATGGACATAGTGATCCCATTTTCAGGAAACAATCAGAAATGCAAATAAGACTAGTAAGTGTGTCTGCTGTTGCCTTATTTAAAATTGTGAGAAATTTGAAACAACTTAAATGTCTGACAATAGTGGACTGATTGAAGTTATGATTTCATATGATGGAATTTTTAGTATGTAAATACTCTTTTCAGTGCTTAAGAAAACAGGGAACTATATGAAATAATAAGAAACTGAGATAATACTTTTTAAAAGGCAGGGGGAAAAGAACATCATACAGATAGAACAAGAGAGAAAAGACGGGATTTTGTGTAGAGCTGGGAGGATGAGCAGGGGACTGAGCAGCCAGCCAGTGGGGCGGGTCCTCCATTTCTGGTGGGCTTACTCTGGGCACAGGGGGATGCCCTGCGGTGCTGTGCTCAGGAGTGCATTGTGTGAACCAGAGAACGGCATTTTTGTAAAGCAGCAGATATCAGACCGAGCAGGTGCCAGGCAGTTTGAGTTCAGATGGCAGCTGGTGTGGTGGCTGACTGCAGCTGCTTGGCACTTGTGGCTTTCTGCCGGTGGGAAGCAGGTTCAGGGCTGTGCCTGTCACTGGGAAGGAAGAGCTCCTGGTCTCAATGAGCTCATTGCTGGGCAATCCAGAGCCTCTGGGGCTGGTTATTAGACAATCCTCCTCACCTCCTGGAGCAAATTCAGCAGAATCTTCAGAGTTTGTTCTCTGTGAGATCAGGTTATGTGTGACACTGATAGGAGATATTTTTTTCTAGGTACTATGCCTTCCTTTATAATCAGAAAAGCATTATTTAAAAATCATGCAGATAGCTAGAGTTCTATTTGAATGTAATTTTAAAAATGAAGTTTTCTTTGCTTAGCTAAGGTCATTCTAAAGACCTTCAAGTGTTTGGGAAGGAGTATTAGCACCCTAAACTCGGCAGGCAGGTGATGCACCATGCTCACTGTCTTCTAGGGGTCTCCAAGAAATGAAGGCCTGTATGAGGATGTGGGGCTGCAGGGGTTTGGCCCCATCTCAGCTCAGCTGGGCCTTGCCTTCGCGGCTTCCAGTTATCACTCAGAGAGAGGCTTTGCACATTTCCCTATTGGGAAGATCTTCTGTTTTATTTTCTAACTCTTTGTTTTGAAACATTCACACATTTAGAGAAAGTGAAAGAAAAGTATAGCTTGGCAGTTGACATTTGGCCATATTTGCCTCTACTTTTTTTTTTTTTTTTCATTCTTGCTGAACTATTTTGAAATTTGTATAGCATAACCCTTCACCCCTCAATACATCAGAAAATGTTTCCTAAAATCACAGTCATTAACCTATCACACCTAAGACACTTCAACTAATTCCTTCATATCATTGATACACAAGCACCCATGCAGCTCTCCCTACCTGTTCCCCAAAGCTCTTTCACTGCTTTATTTGAGGGGTGGTGTGGGGCGAGACCATGATCCGCTCGAGGTTCCCACATTTCATCTGGTCATTCCCTCTTTTTCGTTTCTCTTATTCTAGACCAGTCCTCTTTCTCAAAAAAATTTTTTTTCTCATAGCAGTGACTCTTTGAGGAGACCAGACCAGTTATCTTACAGAATGTCCTACGTTCTGGATTTGCCTGTGTCCCACCTGCGGGGCAGGCATTTCACTTGTTCCTCTATCCCTTTATGAACAATAAAGTTAAGACAGGTTCAAGGACTTGTGGCAGGTGCCATCATTCATGCCTGTAATCCCAGCATTTTGGGAGTCTCGGGCAGCAAGGTCACTTAAGGCCATGAGTTTGAAACCAGCCTGGGCAACACAGTGAATTTTTTAAAGAATTAAACAAACAAAACAAAAAATTAAAGGCTTAATTAGACTCAGATGAACAGTTTTCGCAGGAATGCTTCAGAGCTAGTGTTGTGACTGCGGGTTAGGTCCATTGGGAAGCCTGTGATGCAGGCTGTCTCAGGTAGTGCTTCTAGGTTTCATTATTTTTTTAGAGTGATGACAGCAGATTTTTTTCTTTGTAAAGATACAGTTTTCCCATTACACTTAGAAAATAATCTTTGGGGTAATAATTCATTGCTCTGTGAATATTCCCTTCCCCATTAAATTTTTTTTTTTTTTTTTTTTTTTTTTTGAGACTGAGTCTTGCTCTGTCACTCAGGCTGGAGTGCAGTGCCACAATCTTGGCTCACTGCAACCTCTGCCTCCCAGGTTCAAGCAATTCTCCTGCCTCAGCCTCCTGAGTAGCTGGGATTACAGGCTCACGCCACCATGCCTGGCTAATTTTTATATTTTTAGTAGAGATGGGGTTTCACCATGTTGCCCAGGTTGGTCTTGAACTCCTGAGCTCAGGCAATCTGCCTGCCTCAGGCAAAACTGCTAGGATTACAGGCATGAGCCACTGCACCTGGCCTCCCCATGAATATTTATCCAGTAATTTCAGTATCCACTGATGATCCTTGCCTGAATCAATTATTTAATTGGGAATTGCAAATAAGGGGTTTTCGAACTCCAGAGTTACTTTTATATTTGTTAGCTGGCAGTCTTCTGTGAAAAACAGCTCACCAACTGGGGATGGACTACATTTCATCCTTAAAAAAACAAAATATTTAGTTTTTTTCTTAAATACCAATTTTTAGAATAAGGAATTTGTTTGATAGTTATCTTTAATAGCGTCAAATGAGTATTTTTTTTCTGTTTTGAATATCATGGACTTTGGATGTTTTAAAATCCAGTAGTCTACCCTGTCATAGTCACTACGAGACATAATAAAATTCACCTTTTAAAACATACAATTCAAAATTTAAAATTGTATTCACAAAGTCGTGCAACCACCACTACTGTCTAATTCCAGAACATTCATCCCCTGCCCAAAGAAACCCCGTACTCTTGAGCCGTCACTCCCTATGACTCCTTCCCTTCAGCATCAGGCAACCACTCACCTGCTAGTTCTGTCTTACTGATTTGCCTGTTCTGGGCGTTTCCTATAAATGCAATCAGACAATATGTGGCCTTTAACGTCTGTGTTTAACCTTTAGCATAGTGTTTTAAGGTTAATTCATGTTTGAAGCTCTTCATTGCTAAGATTCCACTGTATGGATAAACCACATTTTGTACATCACTTGATGGATACGTGTATGTTTTATATGAACAATTCCGTGGCTTTTCCACTCAAATTAGGATTTCTTGGTTTGAGACAGGTAGGGTAGCATGTGGAGCTGAGTCTGGTGACTGTGCTTATCATCAAATGCTGCTTCTTCCACATATTGCAGTCTGATGCTGGCGTGCTACGAGGGACACCTAGATGTTGTGAAATATCTCCGAAGACACGGTGCCTCTTGGCAGGCGAGAGACCTGGGAGGCTGTACAGCTCTGCACTGGGCTGCGGATGGAGGCCACTGCAGTGTGATTGAGTGGATGATCAAGGATGGCTGTGAGGTACGGGACCTGCCTTGTTAACCACGCACACGTTGTTCAGAATCTGAAATGCTGCTCCATGGGGTCTAGCAGAGGCAGGGCCTTTGATTAGTCAAAATGTCCTTAGAAATATTGGAGAAATTTTTCTGACTTAGGAAGAAAGCCCTGAAACTTTGGGAAAAGAGATCACCGTAGAATTGATGCGATAGTGAGCTTTCAGATTGTCGTGGGGGGTTATCTTGCGTAGGGAAGAGAAACAGGTCTGAATCCAGAGCTGGACCTGATGCTTCTACCCTTTTTTTTTGAGATGGAGTCTCTGTTGCCCAGGCTGGAGTGCAGTGGCACGACCTCGGCTCACTGCAACCTTTGCCTCCCAGGTTCAAGTGATTCTCCTGCCCCAGCCTCCCTAGTAGCTGGGATTACAGGCTTGTGCCATCAAGCCCGGCTAATTTTTGTATTTTTAGTAGAGAAGGGGTTTCACCATTTTGGCCAGGCTGATCTCAACCTCCTGACCTCAAGTGATCCACCCACCTTGGCCTCCCAGAGTGTTGGGATTAAAGGCGTGAGCGCTGCGCCCGGCCTGATGATTCTACGTTGTTCTTTTGTTCATTGGCTTATTTCTGTCTTCATTTAGTCTTTCACCAAAGCTTTACTGAGCATGTACCAGATATTATTTCAAGTGCTGGAGATAAAAAGATATTAAGAGCTCTTATAGCTGCTGTGCTTCTCGCTGCTTCTAAAATTAGACAATTTTTATTCTTGGTTTGTTTTAAATGTTAGTCATTAAAAACATTTCCAAAGAGCAGACTGACCATATCAAGCACAGAGCATTTCAGTTCTTCATGTCTTTACCTGGAAACAGGCGAGTTGGTCTACCTTTGATTTCACGTTACCAGAAGGTGCAAATTTGATTTAGCAAATGGAAGCAGTGTTGTTTGGACTTCTACAGATATTTGAAGATGGGTAATTAGAATTAGATCAATTATGGAAATTGCTGATGACTTTGAAAACTGTAGTTCAACACTTTGAGATATTAGCTACAAATTTCAAGGCATGGAACTGAAGAGTGATGGACAAAGTGCGGTGCTGTCTGTGACTGCCAGGAGGTGTGTAGCGTGCTGAGAAATCAAGTCAGTGACCTGGAAAAGCAGCTCAAATTGAGAAATGTCATGTCTCCTGGAAGATGCCAGTCGATTTGTTCTAGATTGTTCCTCACGGGTGTCTGAGGGAAAGTGAGGCTGAAGTTATGGGATCTACCTGGTTCCTGCTGCTGCTTTTGGAGAATTACTTTCCTTTTGTTTTAGAGACAGGGAGGCAGAAGAGAGAGCCTGTGAGAGGCAGAGAGAGGTAGAAGGCTGAGCCTGTAGGCTTCAGTGGTAGAGCCAGGCCCACGTGCCACGTGTGGTAGTGACAGCCACATGCTGCTTGTTTGGTTTATGATCAACTCTGGGCAGGTTTTGCATCTAGTAAAAGTCGGTGGTTGAAAAAGAAGGTTGTACTTTGCTGAAGTCAAGCATCCAGGCCGGGCGTGGTGGCTCATGCCTGTAATCCCAGCACTTTGGGAAGCTGAGGCAGGTGGATCACTTGAGGTCAGGAGTTCAAGACCAGCCTGGCCAACATGGTGAAACCCTGTCTCTACTGAAAATACAAAAATTAGCCGGGTGTGGTGGCGGACGCCTGTAATCCCAGCTATTAGGGAGGCTGAGGCAGGAGAATTGCTTGAACCTGGGAGGCGGAGGTTGTAGTGAGCTGAGATCATGCCACTGCACTCCAGCCTGGGCAACAGAGTGAGACTCTGTCTCAAAAAACAACAACAAAAAAAGGAAAAGTAAAGCATCCACAATAGGGCAAGTCTCAGGTATCAAATTTAAATACTGGAGTTTCGGAAATGTAGGCTCTCTGGGCTTCAGATATGAACACACTAATTTGGGGTAAATTCCATCTTTCTTTGAAGCACTGGAACTACTTTGCAGAGGACAGAATAATAAGCATGGATGTGTTTACTATAGATTTCCACATGACTGGCCTGGTGGCAGATGGATGATGTCAACGTGAGTCTCTCCATGTTTGGCAGATGGCTCACCTGATGCTTCTGAAGCCCATGGGAAGGACTTGGGGGCCAATCATGGCATCACCACCTTCTTCCGAAATGCAGTGATCATATACTAAGAGTGACTTATTCACTTGGCGACTTAGTTATTCATTTCTGCATTTAATGAGCCATGTGACCTCAGAAAAGGCACTTTGAGGTTTAGCTTGATCATTTGTAAACCAGGAATAAAAATACCTGCTTCTGATGAACCTTTAGGACCAAAAGAGAAACTATGTGGAAAGAGGGTTGAAAACGGTATAAAGCGTCATGTAATATGAGGTGTTTATTATTCTTCAAATATAATGAAGTGTGTTGCCCACAGGTTAGTTCTTTGCATGAAAGGAGCGCTGCAAATCCAAACCATGTTGCAGAGGGTAATCTTATACAGAGAAGTACCCTGAGGTGCCCCCAAGACCTCCTGGAAATTCTTTGTTTGTTGTTCTATTCTGATGTTTTACTTAAGCTATGGATCATCTTTGAGTAATTCTTCTGTAACAGATTGTGTGTGTGTGTGTGTGCACATGTGTGCTTGTGCGCACATGGTATGCATGAGTGTGTAGATGCACACGTGCATGTGTGTGCCTGTGTCTGAGCACATACACGTATCTGTCTTCAGCACCACTCTTCATGGATTGGCGAGGTCTTCGTTGGAATTGGAAGAGACAGCATTTACATTTTCCTAGTCTAAAATCTTTATTTTAAAACACGAAACCAAGAGATTTCAGTGTAGAGAAGACAGTCAGGAGACAGCCATCCTGATTACGTGCATGCTGTTTTGGAGAAGGCACTAGTCAGACTTTTCAGACCGAATTTGTGTAATGAATCGGTTGTTCTGTATTTTACCTGTAGGTCTTCTGCCTAAAGTTGATATTATTACTGTCTTGTTCCAGAAACGATGTAAAGCTACTTACAACGATACATAAAAGTAAGAAAAATGAATGCTAGCTGAGGAAAATTAGGCAAGAGAGAGTAAGAACACTCCAGGGGCCAAGTGGAAAGTCGTTCAGTTAATTTTTCTAGCCCATCTTTTTTCTACTTTAACGGATGTAGATGAAGAAGCCAGTGGGGAGAACCTGGGGCCTCTCAGCACTCTCTAATGCAATTCTAACACGTGTCCTCACAGCATAGAATTCTAACAGCACAGAAATGTGACTTAAATTAGCACAGTGCAATGAACTCCTACCAAATGTGGAAAGACGGCTAAGTCTGGGTGTTGGGACAAGGAAGTACTCCTTTTATAAGTTTGAATCATTTTAAGGAAAAGAAATTGGGCTCAACACCGTTGTTTCTCTGGCCCAACAGGTAGATGTAGTGGACACTGGTTCAGGATGGACCCCACTCATGAGAGTCTCTGCAGTGTCGGGAAATCAGAGGGTGGCCTCTCTTCTAATTGAGGCTGGGGCCAATGTGAATGTGAAGGACAGAAATGGAAAGACGCCTCTTATGGTAGGTTGTCCTCCTGAAATTAGGCAGTTTTCTGCAGGGGATTAAGGTCAGAGCTTTTTCTGTGCCTGCAACAGCCCATGGCTTTGACTGTGTGTATGTGTGTGTGTGTTCCCTGCCGGCTTGTTCAGAAGGGCATAAGGCCGTCACTAGAATACGTTTCTTGTCTTTTTACAACCATTTCTTTAAGGAGTAAAGAACCCCCGTCCCCAGATCTGGTGAAACGAAGAACAAGCTGCTTTCTTCCTGGTTTTAGTATGGAGAGAGGGCGAGTCCATTTCCCTGGAGTTGCTACTGTTGCAGCTGCAGAGGAAGCTCTGTGCCTGCAGGCCACGCGAAGCCACAGTGGCCCTTTGTGGGTTGCAGGGGGGCTGCTGGGACTCCACACTTGCCAGGCTCATGCTCCCTGCTGCTGTGTGCGCCCTGGAGGGAGGAGCTCATGCACACCACCCTGGGTTTTGTTTTCTAGGTGGCTGTGTTAAATAATCATGAAGAGTTAGTTCAGTTACTTCTTGACAAAGGGGCAGATGCAAGTATAAAAAATGAGGTAAATGAGTCCATCTTTATCTAAAGAATTTCCTTGGAGGGGGAGAAAGAACATTTATAAGCGTATAAAATGTTTGTTGTTTCCTTTTTCAGTTCGGCAAAGGTGTCCTAGAAATGGCCAGAGTTTTTGACAGACAGGTTGGGATGCTCTTTCTGCCTATCAAGGCTGATTTTATAGTCCTTTAAGACTCAGAAAAACCACCAAAATCCTGCATTACATTCACCTGTCTGTTTTTGTTTATCTAGAGTGTAGTCTCCTTATTGGAAGAAAGGAAAAAAAAGCAGAGGCCGGAGCAGTCTTCTGTTTGCTGATCCGAGCACCACTCATCTGTGAAATCCACATAAAACAAAGTGAAACGTGACTGTTAATCTAGGGATGGGAAATTCTGCGTCTTGGAGGGCTGTACATTTATTTATTTAGTTGAAGATTCAGTGTTCCCACTTGGAAATACATCTTTTTACCTAAGCACGCGCGTATGTGGTGCCATCATTGGGCGTCTTCAGAATGGGGATGTTTTCTTGCACTTGTGCCTTTTAGAGTTAGACATGAAACAAAATATTTATGCACTGGAGCTACACAAACACACATGGGTCTCCCACTCCTGGCTCCTGCCCCGCAAGCGGTCCTTCCACCACGCTAGGCCTCGTTGGAATTCTTTCCCTCATGTGTTTTCAATTAAATCCTCCCCTCCCAACTTGGGGCTTCCAGGCTGGTTGTCAGGCCGCTGCTCCCTCCTGGAGTGGCGCTCCTCCGAAAAGCCCAGGAGTTTTCTCTTCAGCTGTTGGCCTCACATCAAAGCTCAAAATATATATTTCAAGACTCTGATTCTGTTCTATTAGAGGTGTCTAGCTGAGGGTCAGCCTTCTTAGACCAGACCTGTGAATGTGTTTGCATGTCTCACGCTCTGACAATGAAAGACTCAGCCTGCTGGTGGGTTGACCATGTAGCCAAATGGTACTATATTAAATTCTGTCTTCAGAGCAGAAGGCTTTTTGATGCTGATCATGCAGTTCCTAGACAAGCAGGAATTGACCACAGCCATGTCTGCTGGTTGGGAGCTTAAAGACACAAACGTGGTAAAGCCTCAACTCAGCAAACACACTTAAAACTCAGCAAAAAAAACGAGTGCACAGGCCACATGAGTTTTGTGTGTCCAGAGGCACACTGGTTAACCTGGCCCCATGAGCAAACCAGCTACAAAGGTCTGTACAGGAGTGGATGTTTTTTTTTTTTTCCTGCAGGGAAAGACTAATAAAAAGTAATTAAAGCTCCAAAGCTTTTGCCGAGGGGCATAGTGAAAAGGCACACAATTCTATCGGCATTAGCAATCAGCTTTATTCCAGAGAGCTCACAGAACATTCACTTTAGGAATGGGATTTGTGAGCCGTAGTCCCATCCTTAGATATTTCATGAGTGTTTTACCTTTTGTACAAATGCATATTCCTTTAGATTTCCCAGATTCGATTTTTAAAACCTCTCCAGCAATTGGAGCACATTTACAGCTCTCCAAAGCTCCCTCCTTTTGTTGGTGGTCAATGCTGACGTTCACCTTCGTTGCATTTTTTTGGTCTGTTGTAGATTGTATTCACTCACCTGTTCTGTGGAAGGCATGTGCATCCCTTCTGGTTGACATCAAGCTTGGCAAAACTGTCTACCCTCCTGATAAATATAGAACCATCCTTGTATTCTTTTTTTTTTTTTTATTTGAGACGGAGTTTCACTCTCGTTACCCAGGCTGGAGTGCAATGGCGCAATCTCAGCTCACCGCAACCTCCACCTCCTGGGTTCGGGCAATTCTCCTGCCTCAGCCTCCCGAGTAGCTGGGATTACAGGCATGCGCCACCATGCCCAGCTAATTTTTTGTATTTTTAGTAGAGACGGGGTTTCACCATGTTGACCAGGATGGTCTCGATCTCTTGACCTCGTGATCCACCCGCCTCGGCCACCCAAAGTGCTGGGATTATAGGCTTGAGCCACCGCGCCTGGCCACCATCCTTGTATTCATGAGATCATCTCCCTGGGTTATGGTGGACTGCAGGATTCTTCATGCTCGTGTGCTATGTACGTTTGCTCTTTTTCTTCTTTTTGCTTAATGAGAAGAGAAAATGGTCTATACACTGCCTGCCTTTTCCCAAAGAGCAACTCGTACTTTTATTAGCTCTATTTTTTACTAATGAACGTATCCTTATTTCTACAAATTCATTTCTTCTATTTTTTTCCCTGAGGGTTTATTTTATTCCTTTTGTAACTTATAGTAGATATTAGATTCCCTTTTTCATCTTTTACAAATATGTAGATTTAGGGCTATGAATTTTCTCCCAGCACTGTTTTAGTTATATAAGTTTTCTCAACTTTTCTGATGAAAAATTCAATTGCGAGAACTTGCTAAATACACATTTTGTGCCCCATCTCAGCTCTCTGCATTGGAATCTCCAGGGAAAGGGCATGAACAATAGATTTTAATGGGTTTGAACACGCATCACAAGTGAGTTCTTCTAATTCAAAGAGTTTGAGAATTTCTGCCATCATGTGCGCTGTTACAAACGTTTGCACTTGCTGTGTTCTAACCTGCAAATCGTCTTTGAAAACTAATGAATCATTACATTTCTAGGGCATGGAATTATTCTTTGTGAATTTTTTTTCCTCAAAGGCACTTAGAAATAACATTTTGTATGTTTGGAGTATCCTTTTTGATATATATATCAATTATGTTTGAAGTTTTGTATGTACTTATGTTTGCTGGCTTGCTTGATCATGGGTGAAGAGTAGTAAGAATAAAGATTCCTTTGGCCAGGTGCAGTGGCTCATGCCTGTAATCCCAGAACTTTGGGAATCATGAGGTCAGGAGTTCGAGATCAGCCTGGCCAACATGGTGAAACCCCGTCTCTACTATAAATACCAAAATTAGCCAGGCACGGTGGCATATGCCTGTTATCTCAGCTACTCCAGAGGCTGAGGCAGGAGAATCACTTGAACCCAGGAGGCAGAGGTTGCAGTGAGCTGAGATCACACCATTGCACTCCGACCTGGGTGACAGAGTGAGACTCCATCCAAAAAAAAAAAGACCCCTTTATTCTTGTTAGCATTTTGTATATGTTTTTCTTTTTCTTTCTTTCTTTCTTCTTTTTTTTTTTTAAGACTAGTCAAGTGCAATAGTGAGAAGGGGGGAAAGAGTAGAACAAAGAGTTCGATCTGTAACTGTGAACAATCAATTGAGATAACTCACTACCTTTAGACCAGCTATTTTTCTTTTTTAGTTTTCTTAAGATGGATGCTATTTTTCTTAAATTTGTAAATAGATATCTGTTTACACTTAGATTTTCATACCAAATAACTCCGATATTAATATTTCTACCACTGCTTACTTTCTTTTTGGATTTCTTATGTAAATAAGTTTAAAAAATTATTTGATAAGTTATATATTCACATTGTTCAAAAACTGTATCAACTCCCACCCCCCAACGCTACGTGTGAGCAACCTCCCTCCTGCCTGACACATTCATGCGATTCGTAGCACACACCCTCTACCCCCAACCCTGCCAGCCATTCTTAGTTTCTTATGTACTGTTGTAAAACTTTCTCAAGCATCTATACATGAACGAGAATCCATGTTTCTGCATGAAAGATCTTCCCCAAATTTTTGTCACATTCTCAGGAACACATGAGACACATTGACATTTACCTGTATACTATTTATTGGGTTTAATAGTCATAACAATAACGTTTTTCTACTGAAATAGCAGGTTGTGTTTACCTGTCGAACCCCAATATGAGAAATGTGTACAAAAGCGAAAGACTGTAACATAAAAAGGTATGTGGAAAAATTAGCAAACCAAAGCATGATACATGGACGAAGCACTATAGAAGTCCTGTGCTGGCTTCCGTAGCTGTATCTTTCATCTGTACTGTGCTAAATAGCCTGTAGCCAAGTTAAGGGTTACAGGAACAGCTGCCACACGTTAAAAGAACGGGCGTTCACTGCAGCCTCCCGATTTGGCCTGATGGGAGGGACAGGAGAATGATTCACTCTGCCACCATTTTTCCTGCCTTGGATGTGTAGAGGATTTTTTGGGTCTAATTTGTTTTTCCTATCACTGCCCAACTAAGCTACCTGCTTATGGGCCATGAAAGTAAAATGCCATTCAACTTTTCTGCAAAACTAAAACAATCACGTGATACTTATTCTTTGGAGCATTTAAATTGTGTTAAATGGAGGACTATAAAGAGTGTATAGGAGAATCATGGGGGACAGAGAACCTTTTGAAGACGATGTGGAAGGTCAGGGTGGGTTACAGGGCATTCGACCTAGAAGAGCCAAATAGCTTTAAATTGAGAATGACTTTTTGTGTTAAATCTTCTGGCTATCATGATCTATTACTGGATATTTTAATAATTTTATGTTATTATTTTCTTAGTTTTTCTCACATGAAACTGTAATGGCTGCACTAGAAGCTGCCATTACTCTTCCAAAAAGAGGGGATTTTTCTCTACGAATGAAAGAAAATGGCACATTCACATGTAGGTAAGTAGCTTCTGGAAACATCCTCACTGCACAGAAATTGTTCTTAGCATGGGGCTCCAAAACTTAGAGTGTCAATGTGTCATTTGTTTTACTATCAGAGTTTTCAAATAGGGTTAAAAAGCAATAGATGTCAATAGAAATTTTAGGGTGAGTTAAGAGAATTTTGTAATTATAGGTAAGTTGATTTCCTATGGCTAACTTCCCCTTCTAATTAGAAAATACATTGGGTGGGAGGTCCTCTGCTGGACTAAAGGTGGTGGGGTTGCTCTGGGCTGCAGTCCAGAGAAGGCTGGGCTTTGGGCATCCCTGGGGTGGGCCTTGTAGGAACAGCCACCCACCGCAGCAGTCACCACTTTGGCTGATCTAAAGTAGCAATGGAAGTAGTAATATGACTGTCAGAAGCTGGAACTGTGTCGGCCTGGGGCTTGACCTGGGAAAGGGACTTCTGTCTGGGTCACAGTGAAAGGCAAACAGATGTATTAGCCACTGGCTTCCTGTGGGCAGCTGTGTTGAATGAGTCTGCTGCTGAGTCACAGGGAGTAACTGCAGCAGCCTAGGACTGGCTTCTAGCATGGGAGAGGAGGAGAAAGGGGGTCCTGTAATGTCCCCCAGCAGCCTGTCATAGTGTATGAAACTTGCAGCCTGAGAGCCCCACCTCTGGTCAGCACTAGTATCGAGAGACCTCTGGGAGGGCTGTGTGACTTTCACTTGGGTCACTGGTGTCTGGCTGGGGCCATCTTGAGAGCAGTGAGGAAGGATCTCCAGCCTGAGTGTGCCATGGGCCCCCAGAATACGTAGGGGAGCCCTGCATAGCAGTTGTAAATTGAGTAAACCTCACGAGGAAAGTCTGCAAAAGTTCAGGGTGCATGAGAAAGATCTGGCCCTGCTGCCCTGGCACCACCTTGTGCCCTTTCTGCCACTGGGGGTCTCATTGGCTCAGAGT